TATGATGGTAAAACTATAGACTATAAAACTGTAAGAATAGTCTTAGAAGGGTCATCCGAGTTTCTGTCTATTTGTTTTCTATCCTCCTCAAATTTGGAACATCCGGTACAGTAGACAGAAGGAAAAAAAAAAAAAGGGATTTGTTCAGCATATTGTTCAGTATGTATCAGTGGTTTGTCCGAGACAAATTATGTTCTGTGAAAAGGTGGCCATGAAAAGCGAGTAGGGAGCAAATCATCTGTACATACATTACTGTAAAGACGCTGCAGAATAGGTGCATTGACTGATGTTGACAATTAATGTGGATTTCTTGTGAATCAGTAATAAAATTCATGGGTATTTCTGAATAACTTTAGCTTGATGCTTTTTTTTGTGGGCTTCCACAGCTTTATCCCACTATGGAAGGAAAGATGATGCATAAGCTAAGCTGAATTGAGAGGGGTCATGTTCATCATACATGTGTGACTTAGAGCTCTAGTGAGAGATTATATAGAACTTGCACTACATTAGGTAACATTCCATTTTTTCAGTTCCTTTTTTCTCATTTCCTTGAAAAATCTGTTGCATGCAGCACTGTATAAAGCATGGAAATGGCTGGTTGAATCCAGCATGAGAATCCTGATCCTTTTCTGTGTACTCAAAGCCCTCTCAGGTCTTTTCAACAATGGAGGCAGGACTGGATTGCGCCACAGCAGATTTCAGTGGTGGATGGTGTTATCACTGAAGAATGGGAGAGAGACTGAGAGAGACTGCAGAGGCGGTTTGGGAAGGGGAGCCTGTTTGTAAAGTAGGCTGTTAGCTTTCAGGAAGAGCAGAGAGCATGGGACTGGATAGTCAATGTGTTTTAGGATGTGCTTTGATTGCAAAAGGAGAATTAAGAGGCGTGGTGATTCAGAGCAAAAGAGAATAGTGAGATTGCTTCTCCAATGAAAATCTCTAGGCAAAGTGTATGAATCAGTCACTGGAAATTACAGTGTTTAAGGGCAGCTAAGCCTAGGAACATCAAAAAAAGCTACGATGTCAGGTAGAGAGGTAGTAGTAACAGAGAAGAGTGGACATGCAGATTGATGCATGTGCATGTATGTTGGTGCAAACCTCCCACACAGGGTAACTTTATCAATCTTATTCTATATGAAAAGAAATTATCAGGTTGTTTATAATATTTGAATTTGCTTGACTTTCTGCAAGTCAGGCCCTGCATGGAATTGATATCGAAGTGACATGAGTGTTCTGTGGGATTATTATATTTTATTAAGTTCTCCAATCCTGTTTGGAAACAGGAAAGGAAAAATGAAGCTGTAAAGGAACCTTTGCACATCTTCCCATTCACATAAGTGCTTATATTTTCTAATGTTTAAGAAGTTTCCATAAAGAAGCCACCCATCCTTAGACTACAAAGGAGAAGATGAAAAAGCAGATGTAGCCTTCACTTCAGTGTATTTGAGCCATACTGGAATTAAGATCTTACTCCCTATTTAATTGGAAACTTTGGTTATAAACAGGAATAAAGCAGAACAGATGGGATTCCATTTTAAAAATGAGTAATCAATAAACAATAATATTGCCCTAGTACAGTGAGGAGAGGCTTATTAAATCAGGAAGATGATTGAAATGGAAAACTATGTTTTGGATTACTGTTTGTTTTGGATTTAAAAGGCAGAAGTGAGCCTTCCCCCTCAACACTTCCTAGCTCATGGACTATTTTTGTGACAGGGTCTGACTCAGTTCCTAATAAAATCATCAATATTCTTTCCATTGTGTGTAATAAGAATGAGGCCATACTATGGGTGAACAGGAGCTTCTCCTTTTTACCTGTGGACAGGAACTTCTGCTACTAATAATCATCTTTGCTAAAATCTCTAGTAAGTGTTAGATGTTATAAATATATCCATGAAGAGGGGAATAGGTTTAATTCACTAACTATCTCTCCACAGTTTTTCCTCTTTAAAGCCAGGGAAGTATATTTTGCACCTGCTTTGACATGCTCTCCCGCTCTCATAAAATGTGCATTCTGTTCTCATGGGGAGTGCTTTTGAGGCAGACATCACAGGACTTGGCACAGTAGGATAGCTTTGGAAAAAAGGTTGGATCCTACCCAGACAAGCCTATAAACTAACAATTATGGCCTTCTTCTGGGAGAGTGTGAGCAGACTGAGGAAAGAGCTGATTCCAGGGAAGAACCTCTGATGATTAATTGAGTGGCCTCCTGACCCTCTCTGTAAAAATGAGCAACCTGCTACAGTTGTGTTTTTGTGAGGGACGCTGTCTTGAGCATGTGTGGTAAAGCATGAGGTAAAGTATACCTACAGGAGAGAATGGCACTGAACATTGACACAGAAGAAAGTACAACCAGATCCTCCTCTGTTCTTTACAGTCTCCTGATGAGGTGTTCTCCACTTTGGGTGACAACTCTTTGGGTATGGGAACTGTACTGAACAGGTGGAAGATAAATTGAGACTGATCAAGGTTAACATTGGAATTTGCAGTGTGTTCTCAAAGCAAGTTTCACAGGACAGGAGTTGATGAATGTGTGAGAAGGTCAGGCTGGAAAACTGCCTAAGGGAGTGTGTGTACTTAGATGTGGCTGAAAACAGCCATGAGTGTGGGTGTGCCAAGAAGTATCCTGGTTTATGTCCCGTGTAGCTTGATTTTTTGAGAACACAAATGTATAAATGCTAACCATGTGAGGAGAATGTGGTAGAATAGAAAATCTTGCTAATAAAGAAGCTGGGGGACAAGAGGATCCTGGATTCTCAATAATAATAGTGAAGAAGCTTGCTTTACTCAGAAAAAGGCTAAGAGTCCTTTTTCTTCCCGTCTTCATTCACTGCATCGGGCTCTCCAAAGATTACGTATTGGCCCTGCACTATGAATGATACTTGTGCCACACTGAGAGATTTGCCTACCAACTGCCATTGCCGTTTACATTAAAGACATATCCCTGCTTACAAGCCCTACATATGTGTGAAAGAGTCTAAACAGTAGAGGTTTGTTACACCTTGTTCCTCATATACAACCTGTTCCATATATTTTATGATCTTTATTGCCATTCTTTGCAATTTCTCCAGTTTTGCTATGTCCTTCTTCATAAGGCGATCACAATTGCCCACAGTATTCAAGGTATATTTACAGTGATATAATGATGTTCCTTGATTTTCTGTTTCTTTTATAATAGTTGCAGACATTTGTGGCAGGGAGGTGTTGACAATATGGGGCATTAAGAGCATGTTTTCGTAGTACTATAATATCATAACCTCAAAATCTTGCTCCTGAGCTATAATGGTCAGCTGAGGGCCAATTGTTTCATAAATTATCCTAGAATTGTTTTGACCCCTGTGCATCACTTTGCATTCATCTACAAAGAATTTCATCTGCCATTTTATTGCCTAGGGATGTACTTCCATAAGGACTTTTCTCACTTCCTCACAGTCAGAAAGCCATTATCCTTATTACTGTGCATAACTTAATATCATTATGAAGCCTTCTTACATCACTACTCACCCATT